TTTGTCATTGAAATTAAGTCTTCTGAACTGTTAAGGATTTTAGACTCTAAATAAATATTATTATTAATATTATTAATCATGCACTACAGAAACGTCATAACGCGCTTAAATCAAAACTTTTTTTGTGCCAAATGAATTACCTGGAACTAAAAAAACTGAATTACTTAAATCATCACTGATAATTTCTCAGTTGTTCAAATTAGCCCTCGTGTCGTTTAGTATCCGTCCGATAGCCCCAATGTGTGATTTAGCTTATCTGTATACTTTTAGTTTTGTATACATCTATTTATGCACTTATCTCTTTCGTATTGTGTTTCATGAAACAGGACGTATGTCTGCCGTTGGAATGCCCTCGGTTCCACCAACCAATGCTGCACCGATGTATCAAAGCATTCGACTCTTACACCCGTTTTCCTCATTTGGCGACAGAGGCGTACGCCTGGGATGTCGAGGTTCCGCCCACTTCAAGCTACATTGGCCGGTGTTTGACAGAAAATAATTGGTTTACAGCTTTTCTTAAACCAAAGGGTCTTTTTCACTCTACATGTTATAAGGATAAGGAAACGCCCATGGGTTTCTACTTCATAAACCCGCACAGAATCGTACATGGGAGTGTAAACGTCAGTAAACAACTGAATGTTAGATACCGTTCTGTAATACACACCCTAGGCACATTCGTTTCTCTTGAAGAAAGCTTTTCGCGATTTTTACCATTTGTGCCTTTATTCAAAGACCAAATGTTAGCTCAACAAAGGTGGAAAGAGGGGTTTTTAACGCACGTTATGATTGAACGTTTTGGTCATTTTCCCCCCTTTGTTATATCAAAATACACTGACATAGACTGTGCGAGCATTTCTGTTCCTTTGGAGGTTTTGGGATTCTTTGGGATAGCAGTTCATGGTCGGCGTGGACGTCAGTACCTGTTTAATGCCCGCACTAACACGTTAATCAGTCCTTTAAACTATACAATAAGGGACGAGGTGGCGTTTATATGCGAAAGTGACTACCTGGCTATTAAATGTCGAGGGTCAACTCTTGGGCCAATGGCGTTGGTTTTTCTACCGGTAGTAATGCTTATCTTTCTACAATACGTGTTGCATTTTTGACAAATTATGCCGCGAAAGAGAACTACATGACAAAAAAAAGTTTCACGATTTACGCTGCACACTGAAAGAAAAATTAAAACGTGTGCTGATTCGAAAAACGAAAAATGAATGACTTTTTCCCTTATAGTGATTGCCATATCAGCAATGTTTATTTGGACATACTCATCATTTTCTGTGCATTTGTTTGTCAGATGCCTTGAGTTCAGCTCTAGGGGGTTTGGACTATGGGTAGTTTCCCTGTGAAAAATTTGAAGAATATTTGAGAGAGTAAAAAACAACGTGAGTTACTATTGGTTCGACAGTAATAGAACCTAACATTTAAAGCAACATGGCAACGAAAACATACATCTGTACCTATTGGTTTTTAATCCTGATATGAGGATGATATTGTAGGCTATATTCTTAAAGATTTATCTGTATCAAACAGAAAATGATAGCACATAAGGGAAGTTCCTTGTAGTCAACTATTCAATTATCTTCACGATTTCAACGTGAATAAACGTTAAAAATTCTTTCTTGTTTTATTTTTACAGTTTTTAGCCGACATATTCTTGCATGGAATCTTAGTAAACAAGTGATGTACATCGTTCGCCCGAAATGTAAAAGTGTTTTAAATGTAAATTTGTAGTACTATGTAGGCACACAAGCCGCTGAAAACCTGAATATGTAAAGCACGTTGACAATGGAAACTAAGTGTATCATATCTGGGGCACTGCACAAAACAAATAATGTATCAGGGTGGGAGGACGGGCATGTTTGGCTTCTGACATTCACAAGTGACCATTGACAATTACATGATAACATATAAAGAACGCTTCTTTCATGGCTGCATGGAATAATAATAATAACAACAACTTTAATCGTAGAACTTAGCTGTTTGTCGGAACAAACTGTATCCTATCCCGGATACATGTACGTTGCAACTTCAACGTCAGCCCCGATTAGTGCACTGTCTTAAAACAAAATATTGCGTGCTTATATATATATGGTTACCAGATGGTGGACCATTAACGTACATGTGGAGGTAAATAATTCACTGTCTCTATCGCAAGTATATCTCATTAATACAAACCAGATAACGTGAAGTGATTCTTCCTGAAGCAACCTTCGCATCATGGCATGGCTTGCTTTCGTCTAATAATCTAGACCTAGAGGATGTTTTTTTTTCCTAGATGTAAAACCGCCATGCCCCGTCAAATCACTTCACAGTTATACGACAAACACCATGAAAAGAGAGAACGACCGACACTGGGCTTTAGTAGGTTTAAAACTACAGAGGGGCGTGGTCCCCTAGGCTCTGATTGATTTAAAACTAAAGAGGAGCGTGTCCACGTAGGCTCTGATTGGCTTAAAACTACAGAGGGGCGTGGTCACCTACTGGAGAAGTACCAGCTCAGGTAAGTGCAGTAGGCCGAGGACAAGGTGCCTTAAACTCTGTCTATCTGTCCGCGTCTCTGTCTGTCTGTGTGTCTGTTCACCTGTCTATCTCTATATTTCTCTATCTATCTAGCCTTGTTATCCAAAAGGCAATAACACAGGAACAAGCTAAATGAACCGAAAGTATCTGTCACGAGTAGGTGACGGTATATTGCCGTATGACATAAAGCCAACACGTGTTCAGAATCAACCAAAGAAGTAATGAGACCCGCAAGCAGTTAGAATAGAGCCAGTCAGTATGGTTCGGCAAACAAAAACTACTGGCTTGTAAAATACTGTACAAAATAACCAGGGGTTCAAAGGGAAATAGCAATATAAGCAGCAACTCCCTTCAACTGTCACCACAACAGATCTTGCATTTGGCAATGACTGGTGGAAAACAAAGCACAGTCTTGTATATTGTGTTTAAGAATTTTTAATGTGACAAAGTCAGGAGATCTTTCAGCGAACATTATCCAAGAACCTGTCAATTTGCCCCGAAGTGTGTTCCTATTATATCTCGTACTAGTTGGTTTCAAAGCTCTGTGACAGAGTTACTCAAGCAAACCTTTCTCCTGTCTGCTGGGAAGAGGGAGACGCCATGTTTAACTACACTCGGCGTCCCAGAGAGCGGTACAGTACCGATGACGTCTGCGCGTATTTTGCGCTAGTTCTTCTCGGCGTCGTCGTTTTCATCGTGTTGTCGAATGGGATCTATCACCATGCCAATAGCGGCGACTCTGGGACAACTGTTCAAACCGAGACTGTTGAGACAAGCGAGATCCAAAAACAACTAAAAGGGTCTAAACTCTTTTCGAAGACCGCTCTGCAACCCATTTTGGTTGCCAACGCATCAACAAAGACGCCTAAGTCGATGTTAAAGATGAGAACTGATTTACAAATGGATGCGAAAGCCAAGGACAAAGTCAATGATCTGGGTGCAATGCACGAAAAACCACCTGCTGCAGCACGGGATTTTGGACAAAAGGTACGGGCTACTTTTTTAATTTGCGCCTGTTAAAAATCTGTTTTAGATAAACTTCTCATTCAAAACCTCCATTTCAGCTAGTTTAAAAATGTAAAAAGTCCTTTATCTGATTAGATTATAATGCTTAAAAAACTTGATTATGATTATGAGTAAATGTAGAATGGTTGTGCATTTTTTATGTTGTTTATATTCTATATTTTAAGTGTGGCATTTATGAATTGTGAAATTTTTGTAAGCAATTCCTTTTTCTTGCCCATGTTGCCTGTGATTGAATACGCTTTCCCAAGTGTGCACATGTTTAACACAATCGACATTCTGTTTCAGCAGGGTCTTCAACAAAAGGGGTTTGGCAGTAGAACATGGACCCACATCACAACAAAGTTTTCCAACTCCACGCCCGTCATGGTACACTGGCCCAGAGACAAACGGCAAACCTCGAGCACCAACAACCTCTTTTCAGTCTCGTTCGTATTTGGCGCAGCCGTGACGGGAACCTGCGACACGTTTGGTTTAGAGGCAACGGCTGATGGCACAATAAACTCCTTCCTCTCCAAACTGAATCTCCCGGAGTCAAGCGTGACTCTCCGAGAGCCTCTCAGACCATTTCTTCTCGGAACTGATCGGCACGCATATTGGGGCTATCTGAGTAAGGTCAACGTGACGCTAGATGGAGACACAGAAGCGCCCGAGGTGGATTTGGAACGACTGGTAGCAGTTATGCCCTCCCTTGAGCAAAACGCAATGCCTGTTTGGAACTCAGAAAACATTTCGGTGTCCCTTACAGAAGTAGGCATAGTGTTGGCGAATCCACCTACAGACAGAGAAATACTGCCATACGTCACGCAATATGACGTCATATGTGACATCCCCTACGTCATAACTTTTGAAGTGGAAAGATCGCTTGTGGTTCAGCATGCAATGAGCATCGATTCCGATGGAACCGTTACGTATACATTGACCCGATCGGAAACTGGTGACGTCATAGATGATCAATTGTACGTTGTGCGCGGCAACGTGATCCGCATGTGCCTTGAGACCTATCTTAACATCACGGCTGGCACCTGTAACGGGTGTGGCCTGCTTTGGAGTCAGATTGCAGTTTTGATAAAGATTTTGATCTCTTTCGTGGTGGTTCAAGGTTTTAGTTTTTGAATTTGATTCAGTGAATTGAATGGTGTGATATACGTGTAATGGACAACCTTGAGGTTCCCATACGTGTATGGTACGTTGTAGATGGAAATAGACTGCTATTTATTAGCAGAAAAAAACTAACTCCAATAAGTAAACAGGCATTTTAGGTACCGTTTTAATATATCAATGAGCAATCTGTGTGCACTATTTAGCTACAATGGATTTTCGTAGAAAGGAGCATGCGTTAACTTAGTTATTGCAAACCCAATGCTAGTATATGTATACTGCGGATTTGTTTGTGTCTATCAGTCTGCTGTGGTCAGGTATTATTGTGCTGTGCCATTAATTTATGTTTTTTTTTACGTATCGTGTGTTGCTATGGTAATACATAATAATGATATTCAGAATCCAAACATCGTTTGTCTCATTTTGTCTTCTGAACGCGATGGTGCATTAATAACTTCGGCGACTTTCTGTATTGCGAAGAGGCGGACATATCGAATTTGTCTGGTGAAATATTTCACTGTCAAAATGAAGACGTTGAAATAACTTCACGCAAGTCGAGATCACCTCAGTCCTGTGCAGCGTACGTTTATTCCTTTATTTCTAAGTAACCAAATAAATGGACGTAATTTCCTCCCTTTTTTACTTTGGTAGCAGCTGACAGAAGCAGGCGATGGGGATGGGCACTTTCAGCATCATCAGGGCCGGTCCGGTGTAACCTTCCGGGCACTTGCCGCCCAGGCACTGAAAGAGCCAAGGTACCTCTCGCAGTTGTTCCACGCAGGTCATGTCCTCGTTAGCCTTGTTGATACACTTCTGGGAGTCCTGCCTGGAAAGTAGACAAATATGGCTTGAATTGAGTTCGCAGTATCTCGATAGTGATTCTTAATTTTTTTTTAAATTTCTTCCTGTTATTTTTTACACTTATTCACTCATTTCAATAGTAAAAATAGCCAACTGTATACATGTATCTAGAGATTGTGAACAAGTTTAAAACCACTTTCGTTCGAAACTGAGTTCAAAATCACAAATAAATGAGTCATCATATCGAATTTATATGCTCAAACTGTATCTTACATATCCTGAATCAGTTGCTGACAATTCAACTCGTAATATGAACAGCTGACCCTTACATGACGCTACACAAACATGCGTCTAATCTAATCATGTTTGTCATAAACATATCAACCGACCACATTATAAACTTCATGCTCCCATCTGTGACTTGTAACAAAAGTCATTGGCGTACAGGTTAGCCGTTAAGGAACTCGACTGCACAGTAAAACGACACATTTCATATGCGAGTACATTCAGTGAGTAAAAAACACAAACGCCTAATGGATTATCCTTTTTATTCATTCAAATACATTATAATAATTGGGGCAATTTTACAAACTTAACAGTGTCATTTTCTACAACTTTAAACTATGGAATATCATACGGTTGAAAACAACAGTTTGTCCAGAGGTTTGTTCAGTGAATCCCTAAAGGAGGCGTCTTGTGAGAAACTGCAATATTGGAGTTTAGCCGTTATATGTAAAAATGGATTATTGCAATCTCCCAGCCAGGTCTTCACCTTGCTTGTCAGCCATGTGACTATTAACAAAACAAATAACTCACCATTTGTCATAGACACCCATTCCTTTTATGTTGGCACTATCCCTATAACTTTTCTGAATCCGCCATCTGAAACGAACCGAGCCACGCTTAACTGAATGCCAAACTTAAAAAAAATATTTTTTCTGATCTTTAAGTTATCATTTTTTATTTTTTATATGCAGGGTAGATTTATTTCATAAATCTGTATTTTAAATCATAAACTATAAACAATATATTATTTTTATACAAAGGTGCGTGTTTTAAAACAAACATTCTATCAGCTTCTGTTCCTTGCAGCAATGCGCTTGCTAATCTGCACTTTTATTATGCCCCGTCCCTTAAATTTGCGAACTTCGTTCGATTTCATTCTAATTTGCGAGACTTTGAGCCATCTCACGTGATTTCCATCCATACTACACTCGAGGACGACTCTTTTGACGACTTAACGACACCATTCCATTTCACGCTTTGATAACACATTGCATTGACTAATTATTCCACTACGCTAAACACTTACGCACATATTTCACTCGGGAAAGACGTCATTTCTCCATTAATTAAAGCAGGTTCCATGGTGATGGTCGTGTTTTCCACTGTGACATTCCTGAACTCACTGATATAGTGAGTCAATGGTACCCTGTCGATACAACAACATATTGACATACAGTATATTTACTTAGGTGCCATAATTTTACAAATGAAGTGATATAATTTCCAATTTTTTAATAAAAAAGTAACATCATAGATGAATACAGGATGTATGTACCCTTCACTTTACGTGAGACCACGTGTTAGATGACGTAGCATTTGGCCGTTTTTCCCCTGACAGTTAAGTTTATACATATTATGAACAGTCAGGAATATATGTTGTGAAACAAATTATCTCTGTGACTTTGGTAGAGGGTAGTCTTACCCTGGACACAATCTGTTAGGTGTGGTAGGGAAACTGAGCTTCAGTCTTCTGCTACCACTCTCCAAGACGGCTGATACCTTGACGGTGGTTGTGCCAGAAAAGGGTGAGGGGACAGTAATGATAGTGGCAACGTCTCCGCCAGAGTCGGTGTCAGACTGAACAAGGAAATCAGCCTCTGGCACGGTGTAGCCAGCAACGCTGGTAGTGACCAGGAGCATCATCAGAATAAAAGCAGATACAGTCATAGCGACAGTACGAGGCACTTGGATATCTTGCCCTACGGCTGTTATATAACAAAACAAATATGTAATGTAGTTAGATAACGTACGTATAGAGAGATAAAAAATGTGGATGTTGTTTTGAAGAAGGATAATATGCTTATTCTGTACGGATAAGAAACGGAACAAAATTTGCCAAAGACTTCTTCGATGACCGTTGACCATATTCTTCTGTTTTAATCAATGCCACTGTTGTGTGTGTGTGTGTGTGTGAGAGAGAGAGAGAGAGAGAGAGAGAGAGAAAGAAAGAGATTAAAAAGAGGAGAAGCTTACCGTAATTCAAGACTTTTCAGTTATACTCAGGACAAATGTACGGTTGTATAATGGCACGTGTCTTCTTCAAACGTAATCCGTAAATATCCGACCTTGAAAACTATCTGAATATAAGCATATACTGAGCCTTACATGTCACCACAGTCTTCAAAAAAACGTCCCAGCTCCCTTCTCTCTCCTGTCTCCACAACACTTTGGATACGATACGATATACGTCATCTGAACATTCCACCCATACCGACACACTACTCGGCTGCCATTGCATATCAAATGAGGACCTATTTCAGAATTAAACTTAACTTTCGCAATAGTCTGCGATAAACGATGTGGGTGCCTGTAAGTGGTCGGTGTCGGGTAGTTAGGCGGTTCATGTCCGCAAATATGGTTGTACTTCGGTCTGGACACTAAACGAATTTGACCGTCGTTTTGTAAAGTGTGTGTTTGTGTGTGTGTGATAGACAATTTATTTCGTCTCCTGCGCACGTTTGTAACGTCTAGACATAGACTCAAAACAGTCCTTGAATGCGTTTATTTGTGGAAATGAAACATTCTGTTTTCAGGTGGTGTAAGGCGCTTTAGTCTGGATGACTGGTGCTATATTTTGGCCAAATTGCTCAAAATGTGGAAAAAGCATGAAACTTGGCACAAATGTTCTTTGGCCNATCCTTTTTAAATCATTTAAACTGAACAAGAAAGGTCCAATTAGCTTGTTACTAAGGTAAATCACTTCCTTAGCAACGGTTGCTAAGCAACGCTTTGAAATTTTGGGCACTGCCCTTGAAAATGATCAGCATAGTCCAAAGAACATTTGTGCCAAGTTTCATGCTTTTTCCACCTTTTGAGCAATTTTTGCACCAGTCATCTAGACTACTTGCCCAATAACTTTGCACTTCATTTTATGTAGTTTGCCCGATGTCACGTGTTACTTTGTAAACTATAATGTTATGCTAAGGTAAATTGCACTCATGATAAATATATACACTTCTTGCAGGTCCATAGTCCAATGACTCCATGCATTTTATTTTAAGCCTAAATTGGAAATACAGTATGTCCATGAACTTGGTCATAAATGGTTGAATTTATCCACATTTGCAAAATTGTCACCGCGTCGACACACTAACCTGTTGATTTTCTGTAAAGTACTGTAATATGGCGTATCTGATGATGAAGTTTTAATTGCACTGATCAAGTGTTTAAAGACACTACGCTTGAGGTATTAGTCAACTTTCCGTCCTTACAAGCGGATCGGATGTAGTGGCAATAACCGTTACATTATACTTTCTACGCATGACTTTTTAGCCCATAAACGTGGGGTGGCTAAGTGCTCATTTCCCCTTAGTAGGGTTAATTAAATGATAATGGATGGCCTGTATTTTGTTTCTTTAAAATAGAAATAAAGATTAAATTCTTAATTTTAAGAGGGTAAACATGTTAAGAGTACAGTTATCCTCCAAAAAGCCCGTCCGGTGTGTTTAAATAAAATATTGTTTTAAAAATAAAATATATATTTTTATATTTAAAAATATTTTGTAGAATTCTGATTCTAAAACATGATTTGGTTGCGAAAATCTCAGACCTACAAAACACTGTACGTATATACATGGAATTCATTTTTGAATTTTAAGCACAATTTTTTAAAAAAAGGTTCCAAGTCTCTGGAATTTTAAAATTTAGAGGAAAGTGTAATAAGTGTTCTTGGTGCAGATGGTGAACTTACTGGCTTTGCTTCCGTGTACACGTATGTTTAGACATATTTTATTTGGCTTTTATTTCTACCCCACAAGATAGTCCAATGGGTTTTGAGAATGCAACTCACCATTTTTCATAGATACCAATGCCTTTAATGTTGACGCTGTCTCCATAGTGTTTCTGAATCCTCCATCTGAAATTACCAGATCCACGTAAACTTGCAGGATAATACGCTATCATGTATATATCTAATTTATATCTATGTGAAGGTTGAAAAAAATTTAAAATACTCAGATAGAATCTACGTGCTGAGATTATTTATACTAGAATAATGTAACTTCACTTTTATTTCTCGTTAACTTAAAATACGCATGGAGCCACAAATGGTGGAACATTTTTACATAAACCTACGCGCATATTTCACTGGGGAAGGCTGTGATTTCTCCGTTGATCGCAGCAGGCTCCATTGTGATGGTGGTGTTTCCCACTGTGACATTTCGTAATTCTACGATTCTTTGCGTCAGTGGTACTCTGAAATCACAACACAATACGATCCATTATAAATATTTGTGATATCTATACAATTCAAATCAAGTTTATATGGATACTTTATGCGTTTCAATCTACTTTAAGAACACTTAAATACCCTGCGACTATTAACATTAAAGAAATGTAACTTTCATTACATCTAAAAGAGAGACTGTCTATATACACCGCAGAGGTCGCTGAGGTTTCCTGATGCGCTGTATTATTTCGGTTGCAAGCATTCGAAAGATCGCATCTAATAATTTAGGTACACTGTAAGCTGTCGTCTTACCCTGGGCATAGACGGTTAGGCGTTGAAGGGAAAGTCAGCTTCAGTCTCCGTGTCCCCTTTTCCGTTGTTTTGGGTACCTTGACAGTGCTTGTACCGGGGAACGGGGTCGGTACTGTAATGACGGTGTCGGCGTCTTCGTCTTCGTCGGTGTCAGCATCCGGTATGGGCTGACGATCGGCTTCCGACATGCTGACGAGTATAGTCAGCAGCAATGTGACGTAAAATAAGGGCATATTCATTGTGTGAAATGTATAGTATCCGTCTCTACCTGCTGAAACCAGTCACCTGGAATACAGACAATATTTCTAAAGTACATGTCATCGCAGGTGCTAGATATAGTTGTATGTTTGAATACCTCAGTGAAACGCAATGGTTCAAATTTTATCTCAAATTAGGTTCTGATCGTTCGGGGATTCATTTGCAGACGGACATAAAATGGTCCAATTTTGGATACTCATCGTCGTGTGTGTAAGTAGCAATTGAGAGAGAGAGAGAAAGAGCTTACCGTAATCAAAATTCTTCTGTAGTCAGTCAATTGTACACGTGTCTTGAGCGAAATAAAACTTGAACCTCAGATCGTGAAAGTCTGTCTGGAGAGCCTTGGACACACCACCTCCTCCTAAACACGCTCACACTCCCTGTGTGGAGATATTCCTTCTCTCCTGACACCTGTTAATGCATGGTGTTTGGGATTTATGTTATTCCATTGTTAATTCCTTAATTGAACTTGAAGTTAGAATGAAAAATGCCTCTTAATAGATAAAACAGCCATTAACAAGTGACATTGAAGTTGTATTTAATGTAAATGATGTGGTTGTGTAATCGTTCCCGTTAAAAGGTGTGTTGTGTATGTTTAGTTTTTGTTTAACCAAAAAAAGGCGCGCGACTTGGGTGATCCCTCACCCACTGTTTCTTTTACTTCAAATAAACATTAAAAATGGGCAATGACGTAATTGACAGACACAAACATTACAATAACTTAGAATAAATGCGTCTCCATTTATAAATGCATCTTTTTAAGGTCCTTCGGCACAGGTATCTGTAATTGTAGAGAAAGGGAACTTTGATATGTAGGCATTTCTTTCCACCCCCTCCCCCTCTTGTAAATATCATAAATATCACACCCGACCACACGGGACGTATTTGTCAGTAATTACCTTCAAGCATTCAGGAAAAAAATGCCATTCTATCCAGGCTGCCCATAGAACAAACATTGAATTAGGATAATGTGTTGTCTATGTTGGGAGGTTAACGCACGGGAGATGGGCTGCTTGGAAGTGGCGTTTCATTTTGTGTATGCACTTGCACATAACTTTAGGCACAAAACAGTTGGGAGGCGGAGTTTATTTATGATGAAATAATTACTTTGTAATTTTGTGAAGTGATGATAAAATAAATCAAACACACAAACAAACAAATAAATAAACAAACAAACAAATAAATAAATAAATCAGTAAAAGTATCCATTACGATTAGAAAATACATACTTTACACTTTTTTAAAGTTATCACAATTTTTGATCACACAATATACTTTTTAAGGCGTGTTATGACTTTATTTCTTGTTGAAGTAAACTTGAAACGCACGCTAGAACTCGTGTGAATGTGCCTAAGCACGTGTGCTTGTTTCTTTTTATCTAGGTTTAGAAAGAATCTAACATATATAAGGACAACTTTTCTGTGGCAAGTCCACATAAACAGCCACGTGTGCAATTGCATATAATGCTTAAAAGTAAAGTCAGCTTGAAATACGTCATACCTGTGTCTCCTTGATTTCTTTAATAATTAAGACAAGAGATGACCGTGTTAAAACGCCCGCACGCACTCACTCACACACGCACACGCACACACACGCACGCACACACGCACACACTCACGCACACACACACGCACACACACACGCACACATGCACGCACACACACACACATGCACGCACACACACACAGGCTGGAGAAGGCTTGTGCAAGCCACTCCACTGTCTCTTCTTACACGCGGGAAAAATCTTGCCTTCCATTTGTGGTGACACCATATACATGCACACAGAACTTAATGATGAAGGCGAATTTCAGAGCATGTTCTTATGTATATAGTAGTAATCCACACCACTACGGTATACAGATCAATTTTTCCTTCTACCAGTAGATGGCGTTAGTGAGCGAAACCTGGTATTTCCCACATAAAACTACTTCCGTGTTAAGGTGCACTCGTTCAAGTTCGTGCACGCGAGAAATAGATACTTGATAACAAGGCAATGTATCTATCGTCATGCTTTGAAATTAAAGATGTTTTGTTTCTGGCATTATTTGTTCTGGTGATAGTTAAAAATTTATAAAAAGCCGGTAAAGTTAAAGTGACATCCGGCGTCCCATCTAAAACGAGGCGGGGCTTTATCACCACGTTACTAGGGCGGTTGCTGAAGGTTCAGGGTTGCAAGTCCGTGAATCAGGTAAGATATGCTGGCGTTATTCTACATAACAGAAACGATATATTAGCATAAATTACAGGACTAGCGGAAGGAATAGTTTTAAGGTCCCATCTGTATGATTATGTGAAGAACCAGCACTAAACTTGACGACACAAAATGGTTTGTCTCTGTGAGCAGATTATATACCGTTGTTTGAAATTCGAAAGTGAAAGTAAGGAAATACCTGGATACACGAATACCGTATGTCACTTTGAAAAACCGAAAGGGGTGTATATCTTGTCGGAGTGTTAATAACTAGCATGGCGGATATTGTGGTCATATGAGCGCACGCACGCTCATGCGAGCTCGTTTATGCACAACAAAAGCCCACTGTAGGCTATACTGTGTGTGTGTGTGTGTGTGTTTGTGTGTGTGTGTGTGAGAGAGAGAGAGAGAGAGAGAGAGGGATGCCTTTTCCTTATTCACGTATAACTTATGAAGTAAAATGTACACGACGCACTACCTATTTTTAAAAAAGATGTTTACTTGTGGTAAGTGTAAATGCTGGAGGTCATACGGGTAGAAATAAACAATAACTTAACAAGTTGATCTCGTTCTACGTTTACCATACTAGCTGTACGACGCACTAAGTAGATGCCAGGCCTATCAATTTTTAAACACTCAAGATATCAGTTTCTAAAAAGTAATCGAAACCAGCGGTGCATTGCTTTTACTTTTACAGTTTAATATTTTTATATTAGTCACCGTGTGCAGTTTAAGATATATTTTCTGTGTTAAATTCATGAATTCAGTTTAAAACTTTATATGGCCAGGAGAGGAGTGACATGTCTCAATACCGTGTCTTACTTTCTTTAGGGGTTCTAGCTAAAAGCGCTATTTACTTAGAACTGCTCGTAATCAGCAATATAAATGTAGGGACTAATATTGATAGGCTGTGCAGGACAGGTGGGGACATGATCTCATAGGCATGGTGGAAGTGGACCTCAATCCACAGGCAGTGACCGATGCCATGTATGATTTGTACGGGAGTAAAATACAGCCTTCAGGAGACACGTAACAGAACATATATCCAGAGGGACACGGGTACTGGAATATCAAAGATTCTGGTCTAAATGCTGACCTATTTTCTGTATTTTAGCTGCTAGCGTTGTTATTGTTATCGGTTGAACAGCATATCGTTATCAGTTATTGACAAACCAGGCGTCGATAAACAAACCTTATTTTGAGAAATCATACACCGCAGTTAGGGTGAAAGAGATACAATGCCTGCATTCACCTAAGTAAAATCTACATACTTGACATTTGATTGCAAAATAAAAACTCACACAAACGTCAACACCACAATATACGAAACGTCTTTACTGGGTAATTTATAAAAAATATTTTTCACTTTTTAATAATATACAAATATACTTAGGGTGTTATTCTGTTTGTACCAAGCGTACCCAAGTATTATTTATTATTGCTCACCATACCGAAATATTCTAGAAGGATAGCCCGTATCGCTTAGTTATTTCTTCTTGGATGAAGAACGTTGATCATGCGTGTCTTTTCAGAAGTTCCTGCAAAAGAGATAATATAAACTACCGTTCTACCCATTTTAAAAGTGTTATTTTACCAAACTGGTGTGCCCAAGCCTCATTGTTTTGTTTTATTTTATCTTTCTTGACCATAAGATTATTTTTCATGAAAATAACAACTGATTTTGACAGTCGCTTAAACATTTATTTAAATATTCGTATTAAGGTTCAAAACTTTATTGATCATTTTTGTTTGTAGGATCAATCCTTTTTATCCAATTAATAAGTGCCAGTGGGTATAAGAATGTTGGCTAGAGTGCCATATCAAATAATTTGTCAATCTTTGAGTTCCACAAATAAACTTGGAGGAGATCACTCCAAAGATGATTGATAAACAAGGATTCTATGAGGAAATAAACAAATGATAAGTGCATTTACCAGTGAATGCGCTCCAAGCCAACATTGGGCCCCAGAAATGATCACCCTCTGTAGAATTAGGCGCAGTCCAAAACAACCTATTAGCATTCAAAAACTCCTTTTTACTGATCAAACTGTTGCTGTCAGTGTCAAGCGAGTGAAAGGCGGATTTGGCCGACAAAGGGTGAACACCTAAGCATTTCAGAAACACACTGTACTCGTCTAAGGAGATCGTCTCTTTCCCACGAGCAAGAACTGTGTCAAAAAAGACGTTGATCCATTTTTTGGCGCTCTCCATGTAGTGGGGGCTGGTAAGGATGTGACGATGGTCTTTTATCATGTCGTCAAAGGTTTTACGACCTCTGGGGCCCCTATTATACCAAAAATGCTGCCATGTACATGTCCACATTGGTGCAAAAATATTTGCCCTTTCCTTGTCCATGTAACGGTATATTCTGTCGACGACAGCATCAACGTACTCTTTTTTGGTGATTTCCATGTCAAAGTCTTTGTCTTTAAGAACTAATTTTATTAGTAATGCAATATAACATTGAGTCGAGCAATGATTGGTGACTACAAGAAGTAGCCTTTTTGCGATGAAAATCACGTTATAACAGGAAGCCAATGCAAAAAAAAAACAACATCATATTCACTCTAAAATGATTACGTTGCATTATGTCATTTTCTACATACTATTCCAAGATCTGCTATGGATATGCGGGTTATTTACACGGGCTTAAAGCTGTGATATTAGGTAAGGTGTATTTAACGGGTTTTAAATCAACAATGTAAAAGGCACTGATGCTAGCGTGGATTATTTCCTATGATTTCATTACCCCGTCAAACAAATGTGTACAAGTACATTTGCTTAATCAGATTTCGGTAGTTTTTTCTGATAGTAAGCCCCCTATACCAAATCTTGTTTTGTTTGAACCACCTATCAGTGAGGCATTTGAGAAATCAAGCGCGGTATTAAAAACCCCGTAGGAGGGTGACAACCACAGAGACAAGGTACTTAAGGTGACAGGTGCAGTTTGTTAAGACCCACTGGTAGGTGACACCCAGAGGGTCAAGGTTCTAAAGGTGGCAGACGCGGCGTGTTAAGACCTGCACACCCAGTACGCCCTAAGACAAAAAAAAACATAATGTTGAAAGCTATGGCAAAGGCAACGTTGGTTGCTGATCTGTTTAAGCAGTACTGTGTAAGCTTTTTAAACAACACGTGTCTTAAGTTTTCAACCCATAAATAATTAAATTTTCAGCACTCAATTCTAATCGATGCATAGATTTTACATCTTCCTGTTGTGCTGCAGC